CCCAAATTATGATTAGTATTTTTTGCCGAAATCCCAAATCCCAAATCCCAAATACTAGTAATTTGGGATTTTGACGTTCCAAATTCCAAATGATTTGGGATTTGGGCAACACGTATAGTCCCGATGTTATATAAACATATAATAATTTCCCTTCGTATAATCACAGGATTTTTATGTAACATTAGGATGAACATGTGAAACCTATAAATCTATATAATGCGCAGTTCGTGCAGTAGATAAATAATAAAATGCTGAGATCATCCAAATTATCCATCCATCTCCAAAATACACAAAATACAATACGAAAATATACTGCTGTTAGTATCGAAATAAAAAAAGAAATATATGAATATATGTTGGCAAATCTTGACATAAATCAAATGGCAATTTCATTATTTTTTAATATTAAATATACTGGATTAAATATTAAGAGAGCAACTATTAGTAAAATATGAAAAGATAGGCAAAAATGGTTAGCAATACTTTTTAATTTACAAACCTCACAAACATTTCGTCAACACTCTATTCAGTTTCCTGAACTAGATAAAGCAATGCAAATTTGAACATCTCAAGTAGTAGCAGCAGGACTTCCTATATCTGACGTGATATTGAAAGAAAAAGAGTTAGAGTTTACTAGAATATTAAATATAGAAGATAAATTAAAATGTGCAAATGGTTGGATATATAAATTCAAATTAAGAAATGTGTTACAAAAATTTAATTTTTCAGGTGAAGCTAATAGTGCACCACTTAATACTCTTCCGGAAGAACGTACAAAGTTACACATGATTTTAAATGAATATAGTTATGATGATATTTATAATGCTGATGAAACGGAACTTTTTTTTCGAATGGAACCTAATCAAACACTTAGTACAGAAGCAATTGTAGGTCGAAAAAAGGTAATTTAAAAAAAATATTTAAAAAATTTTAAATTATTTTTTTAAAATTTTTTTATATTCTTTTATTAATTATAATTAATAATTTTGTTGTGCCACCCGATTTAATATTATTTGTATATTATATAACTAATTTAAAATTTATTTTATTATAATTTTATAGGACAAAAGCAAAGTATCTGTTCTTTTTTGTGCAAATGCTTCAGGTTCTCATAAATTTTGACCACTTGTAATTGGAAAAGTACTTAATC